TCACTAATAAACATAATGAAGTTGATGTTGTGTAAGTGTTGTGCTAGAATGAGCTAAAGTACAACTAAGTATAAACTAAAAATATAAATATACAAATTAAAAATAGCACCAGACTCACTCTTATAATTGCACTAAGGTCTAATATAATGAATTTGGTGTTGTCTATGTATTGAGTTAGAATGAGCTAAAGTACAACTAGGTTTAATCTAATAATATAAAAAATACTAATTTAAAATGGCACAAGACTCTCACTTGTAATTGTACTAAGGTCTAATATATGTTGTTAACAAGAACTAGAGTATAACTAGATTGAAATTGACAAGACAAAATACACAAGTTAAGGTAGCAAAAGAAAATAAAAAATAATAAAAAAAAATAAAAAATGGCAATGACTTGGTTATAATATGATAGTAAGATGGTACACAGGATAATATTAAAGTTGAAGTTGAATATACAAACTTAAAAATTGGTAACAAAAGGTTAAGAAAAGTAAAATAAAGTTGGGTGATAAAGTCTACAATAGAATAGGCAATTATAAGTTTTTTTTTTTTTTTTTTTTTTTTTTTGTTTTATCATCACTCCGGCCGATTCCCACCAAGGCAGGGTGGCCCGAAAAGAAAACTTTCACCATCATTCACTCCATCACTAGTCTTCCAGAAGGGTGCTTTTAACTACAGTTTTTTAACTGCAAATTAAACCTCCTTCAGATGTGCAGGATTGTACACCAATCTCAAGACCTTGGTCATGCTGCCGTTTCCTATGAATCCTTCATAAATGTGTACTTTGCTACACTACTAACACACGTCAAGTATTAAAAACCATTATTCTCCATTCACTACTAATCAAACACGCTCACTCATGCCTGCTGAAGTCAAGCCTTGGGCACTACAAAATCTCCTTTACCCCCACTCAACCCTTCAGCCGTATACCCGCCTTCTTCCATAAATACATGATGACACTCATGAAGTCATTGTTTCGCTCCATCATTCTACATGTCGAACACTCAAAACCTTCCTCAGCCTCTGACAACATTTTGGTAATCGCACCTCCCCAACTTCCAAACTACGAATTCTTGCATTAAAATCACACCACACATTGCCCTCAGAAAGACATCTCCAACTGCATCCACTTCTCCTCGCTGCAAACATTCAATCACCCCGCTTCAACCCATATAAGAGCTGGTAAAACTATACTCTATACATTGCCCTCTTTGCCTCAAGGAACAAAGTTCTGTTCCACAGAACTCCTAAGTGCACACTCACTCTTAGTATATAATAAAATTGGGAAAATAAACTTAAAAAAAAAGGGCAATAATAAAAAAAAGTGGAAAATAAGATTGGTACAATAAAATTGGGCATAAAAATTGGCAATATTAAGAATTGTAATAACTCAGGACTATTAATAGCAATAATAGTGCAATAATAAGATGAAAAGTTTGCAATAAAGTTGGGCACTAAAATATAAAATAAAAATGGGCAATAATAAAAAGTTTACAATAAGGTTGGTCAATACAGTTTAAAGTAAAATTGGGCAATAATAGAGATTTTAAAATAAAATTGGGCAATAGAGTATTTTTTAAAGTGAGGCAGAATAACTGAGGAGAAGCTATGGTTAGTTTCAATTAAAATAAGATAGAACAATGAAGTGGTAAGAAGTAAAAAAAGGAGAGAGATTCTGTAGATATTAAACACAATTAAGACTATGAGGTAGAATGGTCATTGGATACAGCAGTGACATTCAAAAGTAGCTGGGGTATTGGAAATTTTTTTTGGGGGGGGACAAAATTTATGGCAGTATAACACTAATGGTGGACAGTGGGTATTAGCTGCATCTTACTCTGATTCTGTTAATCCAGCTTCACTTAGGAAAGTTTTAAGGTCATGTTCTGTAGAGATGAAGTATCTCTTTCCAGTGGGCTGTTTCCTAACTGCGATTTTTCTGTCCCTCACAAAGCACTGGTGGATTGTTCGTATAGTCAACGACAGCAGCTGGCTTTATAATATGTTCATTATTGTCCCTGCTCAGTCTGTCTGTTTGTAACATCTCATGTCTGTGGATGGTTGATGGCAGCGTCACGTCCTGTTTGTCATGCCACTTCAGTGCCATGATGAAACGTTTGCACTACACTTCCTCCAGTGAACCTTGGCATGTGTTTTCTATAACTCTCACTGTTCCACATATATCAGTATTGTTCACATGTAGGAATTCAGGAAAGCATAGGACTTTATAACAGTTGTCGGTGAACAATGCATGGCCCTTGCCAAGGTATGGCTCCATCATCTTGCAAACAACATTCCCAGAGATGCCCAACATGCGCCTGGTATCGTCGGGTGTATTTTTCCCTGTGTAGATAATGACATCCAACACAATACCAGTCACACGTAACAAAGAGTTTTATACCAAAGCGATTACGTACGTTTGCTTGGTATGTATTGTTTGAATGACAGTCGTCCCTTGAACAGAATTAAGAACTTGTCAACAACAATGCTCTTGAATGGATACAAGTAGGCACTGAATTTTTGCTTCAGATACATACACAATTCCTGGATTTTGTATAGGAGGTCATTTCGGTTTGTCGTATTCCTGTCTGAGAAGTGCAACACTCATAGCAACAGAGTGAATCTGTTGCAGGGAAGGAGGCCACGGAAGACTGGAGTACTGATGAAGTAGTCTGTGGACCATTAGTGTGCTATATTGTTCTTAGAAGTATGTGGCATAAGCATGACAGTGCCATGACAGCCACAGTTGTATCTTTCCACCTGCTCAGCCATGACGATTCTGCAACATCTATGTTGACTATTGTATACCAGTAGTACATGTTGGTCTGGGTAACTATCAGGTTCATTATAGGCTCATCAAAGTATATGTGAAATTAGTCTAACTCTGTAGACTCATTTGTGATGGGACATTGTGGCATGATGCCACTTCCACTGGCATCAAAATTGAAAGGATGTGGCATGAATGGTGTACTTTCTGTCCAGTTCCATTCGCAGTCACATGGTGCAGGGTTTACTTATGGCATGGGGTGTGGGGGAGCAGGAGGGACAGGAGTGGAGGCAGCACATAGTTGAGAGGGTGCCAGGCTGTCCTTTGTCTGCCCATCCACTGTGCCACGAGGTTCAGATACCATGTCATCCACCTCCTCTTCCTCCATCCCAGCATATTCTCCTTCATGATCACTATCAGTGGCTTGGGTTTTGGATCGTGACCTGCCATGACCCTTGCCGACTGCATATGGCACACTGCCTGAATGTAGGGGAACGACGCCTAAAAGTATGTTTCACTGGGGAATAACGATATAATCGCTTTCACTCGACGAATCCTCTATGGACGTAAAATCAATTTCTTCATCTTCACTTGTATCACTTTTGCTATTATCAACACCATAACACATGGAATATGATAATTTCCTCTTGCGGAGTTGCCTTTGTGGCCCGGTGGCCTGGTGGCCAAAGCTCCCGCTTCACACACAGAGGGCCCGGGTTCGATTCCCGGCGGGTGGAAACATTCGACACGTTTCCTGACACCTGTTGTCCTGTTCACCTAGCAGCAAATAGGTACCTGGGTGTTAGTCGACTGGTGTGGGTCGCATCCTGGGGGACAAGATTAAGGACCCCAATGGAAATAAGTTAGACAGTCCTCGATGACGCACTGACTTTCTTGGGTTATCCTGGGTGACTAACCCTCCGGGGTTAAAAATCCGAACGAAATCTTATCTTATCTTATCTTTTGGGTAGTAACATTAGCAACCCCAAAGGTGTTGGGCTGAGGGTCTGTTGTGGACACACTGGCAATCTCAGAAGTGCTGGGCTGAGGGTCTGGTATGGCCACACTGGCCACACACTTCACACTGTCCACACTGGCCACCCCAGAGGTGATGGGTTGAGGATCATCTGGGTTGTCATCAATAGTTTCACTAATTCCTTGATCATTAGTGGCCATATCGGTGTCAGATCCACTAAACTCGTGTTCCATTTCACTTTCCAAGAATATTACAGTGTTAATACGATGAGGCATAAGTGAATCACGGGGCTTTGCCATGATGTTGACCCAAGATGGAGCTGAAACTAACTGGTGCTACCACACGGTACCCCAGTGTCCCTGATTTTTTTCATACTGCGCACACTGAGTGCGCAGACCCATTCTCTTATGTCTAGGTGACTCAGGCCTATTTCGCCAAATTTGAAGGCACGAAAAATAAAACGTAGATCTACGTTTGGAGTGCTACACGAGTGAATGTAGATCTACGTTTGGACAATTTAAGGGTTAAGGATGACAAGGACAGAACAGGTAAGCATATTTTATGTAGCATCTCACTGAGTTCTTCCATTAGCTTAAAGAAGAGAGAGAAAGCCTCTTGACTGTGTATGTCCTGGTGTTCAGTCATCTGAAAAGTTTCATTGACCAGTTTAGTCTTGATTCTCATAACTTGATTATCTTCTAAGACAGATTGAAACATTTAGCTTTATTTCTGATATGTGGGTAATTTTGGAATTATTCCAGTCTCAGTATTGTGACTTATTCTCTCAGCAAGATAAAATTTATTAAAGCAAAAAATAGAGGGGTCTGGAAGGCTTGAATTTTTTAAATTTGAGTTGAAAGAGAAAGTATTTGGAAGGGGGTTGGTTTTGCAGAATGTGAAGGATTAAAGAAAGATAAAAAAAATGAAATTAGGAAGGAAAAAGAAAACTTATACAATTATATCAAGTGAACTAAATTTAGAAGGCATTCAGATTTTGAAGATTATTATTCGCATTTATTTTTAAACTGCTTGTGAAAATGCAAAGGGAAGATATAGCAGTCTCTCAAGTATTTTACACTGTTGTTTTCCAGGTACAGTGTTAGATATTGGTTGAACCTGGTTTGGCATAATTTGCATGTTAATTGTTTGTACTTTTTCAGAGTACAAGTTTATTTGACTCATTTAGTTATGGAAAAGCTTCCTTTTCTGAAAGGACAGTTATGATCTTTTGCATAATGGATTCTTTCATTTTATACAGAACACCGCAACATGCCGGTTGATGATGCTTTGCGTTTAATTGAACAAAATTTTGGAGACTATGTCAAGAAAGCTCGTCAACGGAATATTCGTGAGGTTGTACCTCGAGACATTCGCAATTTGCTGCATGATTTACTCGAGATGCGTCCTCTCTCCATGGGTGACTTGGACAAGTTGATCAAGTACCTGAAGGAACGTCAAAGTGTGCTGGTGGATGATCAAATTGAGCAGAAGCGTGAGACTGCTGCAGGTGAGATTGTCATTCGCTCATGGTTTATTTTTAAGATTTTTAATGTTTCGTGGATAACGGCATAATTTTTTTTTACAATGCCAGAGAGGATGTGCTGACACGAGAAAATGTCTTCGAATTTCTTCTTTTTTCTCCAAACTTTCGTATGGAGGATTTTTCATACACATTCGAGATCGAAGCTTGTGATAACATTCTCGGTTATCTAAAAGCAGGTGTTGATTCGTCCTGACGTCTTTTCTTATTTATGTGAATCTTTTATTTCAGGTGCTCTTTTAATCTTTTTTTTTATTTATTTATTTTTACCCTATTGGCTCTCTCTGACCAAGACAGAGTGATTCAGTAAAGGAAACACATTCACCATCATTTATTCAATAGCTGTCCTGGCAGAAGTGTGCAGGCATCACAAATTAGATGATCCTTTGAACAGCAGCATCCTCACCCTTCCTTTTGAGTGCAGGCACTGTATTTTCCATCTCAAGATCTCAAGTCTGGCTAACCAACTTCCATGAATCCCTTCATAAATGCTACCTTGCTCAAATTCAAACACCATGTAAATCTTTAAATGCCATTTGTCTCCACTCCAGTCTAACATGCTAATATGCCTGTTAAATGCTTAAGCCTTTACCACTTAGAACATCCTTCCCCTGCTTTCCTCAATCCTTCCTTGGACAACCACTTCAGTTTCTTTCTATCACCATGGATTTACATACCCTACCCTATATGCCATCCTTTTCTGCTCCATCCTTTCTAAACTGCCAACCGCCACAACAACCCCTCCTCTGCGTCTTGAATTATGCTTTTTGTAACCCCACTCACTCTTCTAATTTCTGCTTATGATATATTTGAAAGCAATGTGTACTCCTGTACACATTGCTTTCAGATATATTTTCACTGTCTCCAGCCTTCTCCCAGCAATGGGTTTTCTTTTCATATTCCATGGAAAGTGGGTTATCATCATTTCCTTTGTAAACAATGTGTGTTGTGGGAGGTGACTAAAAGGCTGGGAGCCAGGAGATAATAAACTCTTCTTCTGTATCAATTAGTAAAAAGACAAATAAGACTTTGACAAATAGGCAAACATAAAATGCATTTTCATTATACGAACCTTATTGTTTCTCCCTCAGAAATTATATAGCACATTAATCTTGTCTTAGATCATCAAGATTGAGTGCTCATATAACTTAATAGGTATCATTGATTATATACTCATATACAGTACAGTATATTGGATTCATCTTTTACAGTACGTATTATTAATTATTTTTAAATCCTCACTCTTTTTATCAGTGTTTAATTTCATTTTGGATAAAAATATGTACCAAGACAGAGAGATGCTTTACTGTTGTAGCAGACTTAAAGTTTGGTTTTATTCTCTTTCTGTTAACTGCAAGTCTGTACACAGTAGAAGGCAAAATTATTACCTTTTCTGTAGTGACCAATTGTTAAGAGGTTCTTGTTTTGAAATCCACACCCTTTGTGTCTTTGATCCTCGACTTCTAAACTCTTAACATTATTGTCCTCAGTTTATTCTTTATCTGGGATATTTCTCTGTTTTCATAATCTCTGCCTACTCACATGCTGAAAGGACTTGCTACTCCTGGAAACCCATTTGCGTATCCAGTGAAGACAGGTGTTGTCATCCATTTTTTCTCACTCTTTGTAGTAATTCATTTCACCCTTCAATAAAGTAAGTTTTCATTTTGTAAAATTACTGTACTGTAATTCACTTTCAGCATTGTAGTTCATATTTTCTCTGATACTTTGAGGGTTTGCTCTTGTTTCCTGTTCCTATTATCTTCTCCAGTACTCTTGTCTGCTACAATTGACTGAAATCATCAGAGAAGTATTCATATTGCTAACATTGACAACATTCTTTTTTCTCATGTTAGGAACCCCTTTATAGGTAGTAGGTTGGTAGACAGCAACCATCCAGGGAGGTACTACCGTCCTGCCAAGTGAATGTAAAACAAAAGCCTGTAATTGTTTTACATGATGGTAGGATTGCTGGTGTCCATTTTTCTGTCTCATAAACATGCAAGGTTTCAGGTACGTCTTGCTACTTCTACTTACACTTAGGTCACACTACACATACATGTACAAGCATATATGTATATGCACACCCCTCTGGGTTTTCTTCCATTTTTCTTACTAGTTCTTGTTCTTGTTTATTTCCTCTTACCTTCATGGGGAAGTGGAACAGAATTCTTCCTCCGTAAGCCATGCGTGTTGTAAGAGGCGACTAAAATGCTGGGAGCAAGGGGCTAGTAACCTCTTCTCCTGTATATATTACTAAATGTAAAAGGAGAAACTTTAGTTTTTCTTTTTGGGCCACCCCACCTCGGTGGGATACGGCCGGTGTGTTGAAAGAAGAAGAAGGAACCCCTTTCCACCAAATACGCTGGGCCTCTTTCAAAATTATCTTTCCCTCTTTTAACCTTCACAAGTGTCATCCTGTTGAGTTGACCTTTATATGTAACATCTCTTCTCACAATATATATGGCTTTTTTCTGGGTTTCCTCCTTTTTTCTTCAGATTTCAGAATGGTCCTGGACAAAATGAAATGTCATCCACTTTTCATTTGTAATCTGTGAGTTTGTTGTGGATTCTGTAAGTTGCTATGAATACACCAGTATTTGTCAGTGCTCTAATGTTGTTTGACAAACATCTGGTTATGAATTAAATGCGAGACTTGGTCAGTACCTTTTGCTTTTGAGTGGAGAATTTCACAAAAGCAAACAAGGAGAGGTGCCACTTGGACTTGGTTTCTGGATAAAGTTTGAAGATGATATTCTTGTTTTGGTTAAATCATGTTTAGTTGTCTTGAAATACTGTTTTAATAAATTATGCTCCAGTTCTCTGAGTAAATTTGATTATTGTAGAATTTATAGTAATTTTTTTTAGCTTGGCTTTTTCACCAAGTGGCCAAAATATGGCTTTAGCAAAACATGTTGAAATTCTTGTTACTTTGGTAGTGCCTTCAACTAGCAACCGAAGGACCCTTGTTATTCTAGCAGTAAATTGGTACTCAGGAGTTAGTCAGCTTTTGGAGATAACATCCTTGGGGGGGGGGGCATTCCTTAAATAAGGCTGGGCTTTGAAATAGGCTGAGTTAGGATAACATCTCTTAGCCTATAAATTAAATGGCAAAAAAAAAAAAAATAAAGTTCCTGCAACAGAGTATGGCTTGCACATCTTTTCACAGGTTTTATACATAATGTTTACCTAATACATCAGCACATATAGAGTTTCATTACTATTCTGAGAATATACAATATAGGGGCATAAACAGAAGAATGTAGAAGAAGAAGTACAGTAATACCTTGCATAGTACAGCTTTGAGCAGTACAGGTTTTGATATAATATGGTTTGAAAATTGTCAAAGTGGGAAGTCTGAATGTGCGTGGATGTTGTGCAAATGATAAGAAAGAGATGATTGTGGATGTTATGAATGAGAAGAAACTGGATGTCCTGGCTTTAAGTGAAACAAAGCTGAAGGGGGTGGGAGAGTTTCAATGGAGAGGAATAAATGGGATTAGGTCAGGGGTTTCAAATAGAGTTGGAGCTAAAGAAGGAGTAGCAATAATGTTGAAGGATAAGCTATGGCAGGAAAAGAGGGACTACAAATGTATAAATTCAAGGATTATGTGGAGTAAAATAAAGATTGGATGTGAAAAGTGGGTTATAGTAAGCGTGTATGCACCTGGAGAAGAGAGAAGTGTAGAGGAGAGAGAGAGATTTTGGGAAATGTTGAGTGAATGCTGGGGAGTTTTGAATCAAGTGTGAGAGTAATGGTGGTTGGGGATTTCAATGCTAAAGTGGGTAAAAATGTTATGGAGGGAGTAGTAGGTAAATTTGGGGTGCCAGGGGTAAATGTAAATGGGGAGCCTTTAATTGAGCTATGTGTAGAAAGAAATTTGGTAATAAGTAATACATATTTTATGAAAAAGAGGATAAATAAATATACAAGGTATGATGTAGCACGTAATGAAAGTAGTTTGTTAGATTATGTATTGGTGGATAAAAGGTTGATGGGTAGGCTCCAGGATGTACATGTTTATAGAGGGGCAACTGATATATCGGATCATTATTTAGTTGTAGCTACAGTTAGAGTAAGAGGTAGATGGGAAAAGAGGAAGGTGGCAACAACAAGTAAGAGGGAGGTGAAAGTGTATAAACTAAGGGAGGAGGAAGTTCGGGCGAGATATAAGCGACTATTGGCAGAAAGGTGGGCTAGTGCAAAGATGAGTAGTGGGGGGATTGAAGAGGGTTGGAATAGTTTTAAAAATGCAGTATTAGAATGTGGGGCAGAAGTTTGTGGTTATAGGAGGGTGGGGGCAGGAGGAAAGAGGAGTGATTGGTGGAATGATGAAGTAAAGGGTGTGATAAAAGAGAAAAAGGTAGCTTACGAGAGGTTTTTACAAAGCAGAAGTGTTATAAGAAGAGCAGAGTATATGGAGAGTAAAAGAAAGGTGAAGAGAGTGGTGAGAGAGTGCAAAAGGAGAGCAGATGAAAGAGTGGGAGAGGCACTGTCAAGAAATTTTAATGAAAATAAGAAAAAATTTTGGAGTGAGTTAAACAAGTTAAGAAAGCCTTGGGAAAGCATGGATTTATCAGTTAAAAACAGAGTAGGGGAGTTAGTAGATGGGGAGAGGGAGGTATTAGGTAGATGGCGAGAATATTTTGAGGAACTTTTAAATGTTAAGGAAGAAAGGGAGGCGGTAATTTCATGCACTGGCCAGGGAGGTATACCATCTTTTAGGAGTGAAGAAGAGCAGAATGTAAGTGTGGTGGAGGTACGTGAGGCATTACGTAGAATGAAAGGGGGTAAAGCAGCTGGAACTGAAGGGATCATGACAGAAATGTTAAAAGCAGGGGGGGATATAGTGTTGGAGTGGTTGGTACTTTTGTTTAATAAATGTATGAAAGAGGGGAAGGTACCTAGGGATTGGCGGAGAGCATGTATAGTCCCTTTATATAAAGGGAAAGGGGACAAAAGAGAT